GCATTGTTGGGCTTTCAGAGTACATTAATAACGAGCTTTGGGTTAAAGATTGTCAACCCATTTGGCACATTTATAATTCATACAAGAGAAGCCGGCTGTGCTGCTTTTCCATTTCCAGCTATGAACATCGGATGTCGAATCAATAATCCAGCTACTTTCTGAACATAACCATCAGCCACTGTGACTCATTATGAAACGGTGAGCCTCTGTCGTTAATATGTATGGCTTAATAAGCTGTACATGTTAAACATCATTATTCTGTGAAACATACTCTGTTAATTCATACTATGACATTTTCAATCTTTCTAGATTACAAGACACATTTCTATTGCCTCATTTCCTGCCATGGTTTTGGAGGCAAAGGACTTAAATGCCCTAATATATGTGGAGTGGAGTATGAATAAAAAGGAACGGCCTGAAGAGACCAGTCAGAAAGGTAATGGTTCAGTGTCATTTAGGTTCTCGTTGTACGAGTCCTTCAGGCCTCTTGCAGAGATGAAGATGGAGTGGATGTGGGAGGGCATCAGTGGTTTGCAGATTGCTGATTTATGCAAAGAGTCATGCAAATTTGGTTTGCATGAGCAACTGGTGGCAAAAGAACAATGCCGCATCTAAAGTGTCCCCTGAGCTGCAGGTACAGGATCATGTATAATAAAGTAGAGAAAAAGAAAAAGAGGGAAACTTTGGGTTTTATATTCTATCTGACTCTGTCGTCACGTAGTTCCACATAAACCAAACACACAAGTCAACTGAAAACGCGAAAAACAAGTGGCTATGTAACTTATAGGGAACTTGTGCAAATTTCTATAATCAGAAGCAGTTTGCATATTAAAAAGACACATCCAGAGATCTTCTGACATAAAAAAAATTTACTCTAAACAATACCTAAATGCCGACTGTAAAGTCTTACAAAAGTCAAACATAAAAAGTACAATTAAAATAAATATATATGTTTTGCACTTCAGTTGTTTTGTCCTAATTAAAGCATCCAAAGTCTGTTGACTATTTTTCCATGACTTGTCATTTTGTTGTCTTTGTTGTTGGTGTGTAAACCAGTAAAGACAGGCAGCGCTTACAGAGATCCAGTGAATAACAAAAAGACGTATGACCTCAGTCTCTACACTGTAAAAGCAAAAAATCTTACCCTATAGTGATGGTCTAGTTTCTGGTGCAAATATCTTAGTACACATGAAATAAGACATTTAGAAATATCTTGTTGTTGGTATTATCAAGTGACTGGTGTTTATCAGCTTGATGACATGGTGAAGAAAAATACAAGACAATAATAAATGGAACTGGTTCTTTTGGGGGGCTAGGGAGAATCATAATTGCCAGATACATACAAACAAATTTAAAAACTTTGTTTCTAAAAATTAAATAAATGGAAACTTATAAAAAAATTTGTACACCATGGGGAATACCTTATTTTAAGATAAATCACAGCCACGCATATTCATGAAAACCCCTGAAAAGGTTTTAATTTTAAATTATGTTTGTTTGCACAACATTTCAAATATTTTAATGAATATACTTTTTTTTAAAATTCAATTTAGCTTGCTAAATTAAAAACACATTTCATTTTATAAGTGAAATAATCTACCAAGAGAAGTAGAACTTTTTAAAAAAATCCATATTAAGGAATTATTTACTAAAAAAAAAACTTGTTTAAAAAATGTATACTCTATTGTTGTTTGTCCTCTGCCTGTCAAATTGTTTATTTTTTAGATCAATGCCTGTCTGCATTGTTTGTTTTGAATGCACTAATTGGTGAATGAAAAAAGGCGAGTAAATAGACAAAAAAAAAAAATCATTGCTCATTTTTCACAACAAAACTGTCTCGTTTCCTGAAACAAGTTTTGTGGTTGATTGAAAACAAAAATCAATATCTGTGATTCATTTCTATAAACACTCTAAGTCATTTGAAAACATAGATATTCCCATGACCTAACAAGCCAACCTGACTCTTCATTTCTCTGTTTTGGGTTCGATTCAGTTTATTCCCACCTCAGGGCTGCCCATCATGCTCAATAAGCCGCTCCTGTCAAAAGCACTTTGCAGACTTGCTGTAAAGCTGGCGCTCCCTGAACCTCCGCCCCGGAGCAAAACGAGCCGTTTCCAAACGATCGGCCTCATGACAGAGGAGCAAACTCTGAGGACGGCTCTGGGTCTGATGGCTCTGGGTTCGGAGGAGCAGGTTTCTGTCTTCATTTGTTGTGATGACGTGTGGGGCCTCGTTAAATCTGTTCGCCCAGCCCTCCACTACCTCAGGTTAACACCCAGTTCTTAAGCCTTTTCGCTGATCTAATCTGGATTGTGGTACGATTTATAAATATTATAGCGGTTGGCTTTCAAAGAAAAGACGTCCTCCAAAACGTTTGATTAGATTCTAAGGGATCCTTTTTGAGGAGATAAGATGTGCAGCATGTAATCAGCGATAGATGCCAGCATTGAGATTCAGCGAGAGCATTTGTGGAAGAGGAAGTTAGAGATTAACATTTCTCCGTTAAAACCTTGCAGAGGCAGACAATCATACTTTGAAAGAAAATTCACCTTTCTTTACAAATGTTTTGGAAGATCACAGGTAATATTTCCACTCAGAAAGACAAAGAACTCATTTTGTTATTCATGAACAAAATAGCCCTGGCCCTGCCTTTAAATATATATGAGATATATATGAGGGAAAATCATTTTTAAAAAGAGGCTGGCTCTGGTTTGTGTTGTTACTGTGATTTTTACTTCTTACTTTTTCTTTTTTTAATATTGCTTTTGGGCCTGAAACTTAAAGCTTTAATCGATTTTTTTTTTTTTTTGCTTAACAATATACTATAAAGTTAATCCCTTGTCAAAGAGATATCTGGAGTGTTGCTTTGATTCTTTCATGCATGTTTGAGAAATCCTTTAATTTCCCATGGCAACCATTCAGCTATGTAAAGCCTTCGAGGACCTAGCTCCTCCTCTGAGCTGCAGCTTCCAAGCTTTTGTCTCAATGAGGCAATCGGACAATCTCCTGCGATTCCCCCACTCAGCTCCTTCAAACTAGCCACCAGCAATTAGCAAACACCTGGAGGAGCTGAGCATCTGCTGAGTTCATTATACAATCTACTTCTCACTGCAACACTGATAAAAACATTGTTAAAGGGTTAATAGAGGAGCCATGTTGCGATGACTTCCTGACAAAGAACTCATTTTGTGTGTCCATGAAAAAAAAATACTCCTGGCATTCCCTTTAAATATATATTGGGGGAAAATTAGTTTTAAAGAGCTGGTTTGGGATTTTGTGCAGTTAATTCTTCTATTTCGTACTATTTTCCCCCAAGTTTCTTTTGTGCCTAAAGCTTTTATTACGACTTGAAACAAAATTCCCATCCTTTTTTTTCTCTCCAGGGATCAGATAAGGATATGGTTCCCAGATCTACATGTCATTATAAACTTACACTGCTTGCCTTTTACCTTGTGAAATGCTTACGTTATTTCAGAAAAACCACATGTACACAAGTTATTGTTAATCACAGAACAAAGTCGGCATCAAATAATAGATTGTGCGTCAGTGTAATTCTAAAATATGCATAAACCCCTGCTGCACAAGATTAAACATTAAGCATCCAGTGTGCAAGCGTTATTTGTTAAACGCAGCAGTGGAGGCTCTTTTGTTTTCACATTCGCCTCGGTGTGAGGCGGCAAGGTCGAAGCGATGAAGTGCATTTCCTGCGGTATGTTCAACAGAACAGGCCGCCAATGCGGTAAAATGGAAAAGCAACAAATTTAATTAAAACCGAGTGAGTTCAAAGCGCAGCACGGCGTCTGCATGCTGCGCTTTGAGGCGTTGTTGCAATTAAAGCGCAGGAAACATGCTTTTTGGATGTAAAAAGAAAACTCATCATGCCTCAGCGTCTTCTTAAAACAAAACTTTGCTCTTCTTTTTTCTATCGAGAAAGAAACATAGTCCGATTACTCACTTTCCTGTCACAGCATGGGGGGGAAGTCAGACATTCAGAGTCTGACATATACATGTCAGCTGATGAGTCAGACTACTATGTCTTACATAAGTTAAGATCAAATGGTTTTTCAAAATAGCACATAAGTTAAAGGCATCTCCTCGTCCTTCTGAGGTTGGTCCAACTTAAAAAAAACAACCTTTTTAAGGTCTCACAATAAGAAACACAATAAGAGACAATGCGTCATTGTTGAATGAACACAAATTAGGCAAAAGAAAAAAGGAAATGAACTACGTACAACCCATAAATCAGAAGCTTATGGAATGGCGGCAACAATAAAAGCACAAATCATCACTTTACCATCGGATGATCGTGTTTGGCGATTAGTAAAGGATGTTTGCACTGACATTCTGGGTTTTAATTTTCTGTGGATTGTGGGTAAATATGTCAGCTTTCAGTCTGGTTGTAAAGATCTTTGTCACACAAAAAACACAAAGAAGTTGAATGATATGGTTTTAGCTCCATATTCTGCCATTCTTAGTGATTTTTGACCTCATGGTTGCTTTTTATGCTGTAGATCACAATATTCTGATTACCCATCTGAGGCATTGTAGATATTCTAAGCTCGTCAATGGGGCAATTCAGATCTTAACGGTTTAAGAGAAGCTTTAACCCCCTCATGGTCTTAGCAAGAGGCTCACGAGGAGCGCATCAGACGTCACAGTCGGACAGCGGGGAAGTGATGTGGATGTCCTGTCAGACCATCATCAATCGTAAAAGCGCAGGCTTGGTCAATGCGACCCCTTCAGTTAAGACCGTGAGAGGGTTATTGCTTTGCTGCTTTCTTTACTTCTGTATCCTGTTTTGCCCTCGTCTCTGGTGGAGTTCCCCAAGGATCCGTTCTTGGACCAGTGATGCTTTTTATTTGAATATTTGGTCTTTAGGTTTTGGGTTTAGAGATTAGCAATAGCAAACATTTTAAGGGATTTTCATAATTTTTTTAAAAATGAGTTTGTTTAAAGAAAAATATTTACTTTGTTTTGTTTTATTATTATTATTCTACAGACACGATCTTTGTTGCTGAATGGGTGACGAGCCTCCAGTCGCTTCATACACTCAACGCATTGTGCAGGACAGGGTCCCCCAGCTGGGTCGCAGGGATGTACCAGGAGGTGGCCTTCTTGGCAGGCAACACTGACCACCAGTTCACCCCTTTTCGCTTTAACCACGTGGAAAATCCACAGGAAGTCACATCCAAGAAGGGCTTGTTCTACAAGAGAGCCCAGGTTCTGCTCCAGCCTCAGCTCAACCAGCAGGACGGAGACGAGGCGGGCCTGGCTGACAGGGCAGCCATTATCAATGTGGGGGGGATCAAGTATCACATCCCCTGGTCCACCCTGGACGAGTTCCCGCTGACCCGACTGGGCAAGCTGCGCAGCTGCAGCAACGAGGCCGAGATCATGGACGTGTGCGACGACTACGACGTCAGCCGCAACGAGTACTTTTTCGACCGCAACCCGTCGGCCTTCCGCATCATAGTGACCTTCCTGGCGGCGGGGAAGCTGAGGCTGCTGAGGGAGATGTGTGCCCTTTCCTTCCAGGAGGAGCTGCTCTACTGGGGCCTGGAGGATGACAACCTGGAGTGGTGCTGCCTCCGCAAGCTGCGCCTCAGGCAGGAGGAGTACAAGGAGCTGCAAAGGCTGGAGGAGGAGGAAGCCGAGCTCACTGCCCCGCAGTCCTGCGAGGAGAGCCAGCAGCCTCCAGGCGGGCCGGAGGAGACCCTCTCGGGGGGCTGCATGCGAAGGCTCAGGGACATGGTGGAGAACCCGCACTCGGGCCTGCCCGGCAAGATCTTTGCTTGCCTGTCTGTGCTGTTTGTAGCCATCACCGCGGTGACGCTGTGCGTCAGCACCATGCCGGACCTCAGAGAGGAGGAGGAGAGGGTGAGTTCACTTCCACACCTAGTTTTTCCACAGATTCTAGTTCTAAATTAATTTAGCACCTGTGAGACACAACAAGAAAAGAACAGGTTCTCTATAGATTTATTCAGACTTGGATCAATGACGTTAAACACAGAGCAACTCCTGGAAGGAATGTGTTAGAGGCTGAAAACGACTAGAGGCTAGGGCAGAGGTTCAGCCATAAACCCATAGAAACAGGATTTAAGTGGTGACCCAGCCAAAGTTCAGACCTGAATCCAATTGAGAACCTGATGTTCAGAGATGATACCTGTCTCTGACATGATAGGTGTGAATGTGTTTGAGGGCATTCACACTAACCGTATTTGGTCTGCTTTCATTGAAATCTTGTTGATTTTCCCTGAAAGTCCGGTTCGTTTGAGGGAGCGTGGAACAAAAAAGTGAACTCTGGTCCCCTACAAACATAGGTCTCAGTTTGGTTAAAGCAAACTCTGATGCAGTTTGATTGAATATGTGAACGCAAAGTTGATCTGCTGGAAAAACGGACTATAGCGTAGGGCATTCTGGGTAAATCCGGCCCAACCAAAGGCTTGTCTAATTCTAGCAGGAGAAATGGCTTGTGATCTTTTACCAAAGACATAAGAGGAAATCCTACAACCGCTAAAATCTGATCCTACCCCATTTTGGTAACATTTTTCCTGAAGAAACATCTGAAGCGTCTTTATTTCCTTCAGTGGTTTGTGGCGTGGCTGCACAGTGGAGCAGTTGGTAGAGCTGTTGCCTTGCAGCAAGAAGGTTCTGGATTCGATTCCGGCCCCAATCTTTCTGCATGGAGTTTGCATGTTCTCCCTGTGCATGCGTGGGTTTTCTCCGGGTACTCCGGTTTCCTCCCACAGTCCAAAAACATGACTATCAGGTTAATTGGCCTCTCCAAATTGCCCGTAGGTGTGAGTGTGTATGTATGGTTGTGTGTCTCTGTGTTGCCCTGCGACAGACTGGCAACCTGTCCAGGGTGTATCCCACCTCTCACCCAGAACGTTAGCTGGAGATGGGCACCAGCAACCCTCCCAAACCCACTGAGGGACAAGGGTGTAAAGAAAATGGATGGATGAAATGGTTTGTGGCGCCACCACAGGCGCGAAGGGGAACAGGTCTTTTAAAATGTTGGCTTTGTTTGACACAGTTCAGTGTGAAAGTGACTCGCAACAGCTGAGACATAAAAAAGATTTGCTTCTGGAATTGCAACCAAAGTTAACAACTGATAACTGTTTTGAAAACCATTTCTCTTCATTTCACTTCACCAACTTTCTCTGTTTTGTGTCGGCCTATCACATCAAATCCAATTTGAATACTTTTAGGACTGGTCGTGGTGTAACAAAATAAGCAAAACTTCAAAGTATGATTACTTTTATGAGGTGCTCTGTGTCACTGAAGTTTTCCTCAGAAGATTTAAGCTTCTTTTACGCTTCCCAGGCATACAGTTATTTAAAATAACCTTCTTCTTCCCCAAGCCCCTGGCGTTCAAACACAACCTGAGATTTCTCAAATAGAAATTAGATTAGAGCACATTGATTTTCTAATTTCAGTGAAGAATGAAAGCAGACTGTAGTCCCATTTTGTGGATACTCATACTACTTTTTGTGCATAAAAAACAGCATTGCGTCTTATAAATGGCCTCACTTGTGTATTTGAAGAGTTAAATACAAAACAGACTTTCAGAGGGAACACCATGATGGCCTTTAAACAGCTCACAGAGGGGAGAGGGAATCCGTTCTCAGGTCTCCTTCTGTTTTTTTGTTTTTGTTTTTTTTTTCTCATCGCCTTTGGGCTGTGTGTGCAGTAGAGCAGCTACAGCAGGCATTCAGAATATGTTGATGCAGCGGCCCACATACAGAGACTTTCCGGGGTTTATTGTAAATCACTGTGAAATAAACCAAGGCGACGGCTCAGGAACAACAGGCCTACTCACCCTTCACTTGAGTGCCAGATTATTGTGCCATACTTCCTCCTGTTTCTGCAGTCTGTCTTCTGCAGCAAAGCAAATTCCAACTTTTCTTGTTTTTGCTTTTTCCTCCATACATGAGATTGAGGACAGCAAACACCAGCTATGTTTTCCCCGCAGCTTTAAACGGGAGGTGGAATTGGTTTTGTACGCTGTCTTTGCAACAAAAGCCTCAGATACGTTCCACATGCCGTACATTTTACTTGACCTGCTTTCACAAATGAAAATAATAGAAACTGGGATGAAATACAGAGTGAGCTCATTATAATTATGTAACTGTGTGATTATGAAAATTATAACCATGTAAAAGCTTGTTTATACAAATCCTCCCAAAAGCAGATGACCACTAAAAATGAAGCTATGAATAAATACTTCTTAATTAATTGCTTTGGGACTTCCACAGTAATGCCCCCATCAAGCTATTACTTCATGTCAATCATGTAAAAAAGTGCACTGTCTTGGATGAACAATAAGCCACCACTGTTATGTTGTGAACGTTAACCTTTATCATGAATAACCTAATCTCCAGAGACACCAGAGGACCCAAATTCGTCTGTCTATATATCACCCATATTTGGCCATTGCTGTGCCAGTTCACTACTTCTAAATTCAGTCCATCCATCTTCAGTGGAAATAATTTATGTTCATAGTTCACTACCCAAACATTCAAAACGAAGTTCTGAGCCCTGACATGCAGTAGTTCTCATTAATTCATCAACTTATGGGTCTTGATGTCGCTCATCAATTAGCATGTCAAGGATGTCATTGTGCTGTCATCTTTAATTCTCTTCTTTTTTCTTTGCTCACATAAACTGTATGTCGTACGGCCATAGACCCCCAAAAAAGCTGCTTTCATTGCAGGCACAGGGAGACATAGAGTTTCCTCTTAGACTAAAAAGCAGTTTATTAAGGTCATGTTTGTAATCAGGATCACTTTGACAACACAAGGAGGTTAATGTTCCTCTTAATAACCCTTGAAGGGATTATTAAGACAGCAGCAGGGTTTCCCTCAGTGCATTATTAGCCTGGCAGGCTGCCAGGCTTTACATGCCCCCCCTGCCAGGCTAAGCGTCATTTGTTGATTTATTATAAATAAGTTTTTCTACTCGCCAGTGAAAGTGATGGCAAACACAAAAGAGCGTATTTGGTGGAAAGGTTGAACACATAAAGAGTTTGCAGTCTGTACCGTCTACAAGCTAACGCCTTCATTGAATAAAGTGACGAGTCATGTATAAAGATAAAGCTAGCTAGCATAGATGTTAGCATGTCATAAAAGCAACCTTCTGTGTATGACGTTATATACGCAGAAGGTTGGCGTTCAGTGAGACTGATGTGAGCACATATATCTTTCTGAACAAAGAATAATATACAGCGTGTCCATTTCCATCTCACACACACTCGCTCGGTGTGTGTTCAGGCAAGCTTTTGATTCTGTGTCTTTCCCAGACTCTTGGTCAGTGAGCCGCACCAACCAATCACAGACATTTTTCATCCAACCAGACAACTAGACAACCAATCATAACTAGCAAATCAAAATGTTGCACTAAGCGGCAGACATTACTAAACAAAACAGTAAAACACAAGAAAACTTAAAAATAAATTAATTTTGTATCTTAAGAATATGCAAACATACAGTACTTGCAAATTAGCTTTTTTTAAGCAATACAAAAAAGAATCATTATTAAGTGCAACTTGTTTTTTTGCGCAGTGCTAAACCACAACCTGAATTACTTTTCTAATGAACCATTCAGCTATAGTGTATTATAATGTATTTGTATTGTACACAAAACAATCACAGCCCATTCCTTCATTTCTTATTTATTGTACAACAAAGGTTTTAACAATTCCAATTGCAGAAAGGTCTACTTGCTGTAGAAAGAGTGATCCCATAATCTGTTGGTTTAAAAGGCCTCACATCACATTAGGAAAATTTTTTAAAACAATCCTCAGCTGATATTAATCAAAGGTTGGATTCTGCCGGGTTCAGGTTTCGTGACGCTTTCATCTATCAGACTCGGCTCTTTAATTAGGCCTGAAAGTCAAAGCAGAGCCACATCCACTTGTTGCCGAGTTTGGCTTTCATCTCGCAGAAAGAGAAGCATTGCAACCTCAGGTTTTTGTTCCGACTCACTACTTGTGTTGCGATTGCCCATGACAAGAACAGCAAAAAGGCACATTAAAGCTTGGAATGTCTCATTCCTGAGATTTTTCATGTTCTGCCTCGGCCCAGGAGGCTTCAGCAAGCCTCGGAGATCCGGCTGCAGGGTGTGCATGTGTCGCGCTAATTCATCTTTTGATTGGCATCAGTGGACTGGAGTATAATCACAGCAGAGCCCTGCAGTTCCTCCCTCTGTCAAAGTTACGGTTTTCATCAGCGAGCTTGAAGAGTGTTGGCTTCAAAAAAAGAGAAATCAATGAAAACGAGGGAGGAAATAAAAATACAGACAGCGATGAAGATGTTTTCTGTTTTACCTACAACTAAACATTACCAATGTGGCAGCAATGATCCATCCAAAGATAACAATATTTAATTTGGAAAATCCATATTTCAAATGCAAAGACAGCTAGACTTGTTTCACTGACGTGCCAATTAGCTGCCCAAAGATCGGTGAGAGCTCCAGATCTTCTGCTGTGTGAATTATGGCATCGGGTCATTAGGACTGAAAACCAGAGGTGGAAATCAAACCAAAAAGGAAAGTGTTAGTAGAATAATGAGGTGGCCTTCTTTTCACATAGCTGCTAAAGACACAAGAAAATATTGAAATCACAATCCTTCAAGTTATTAATCGAGTTATGCCACATCTGTTTTAACATCCTTAAGGCTTTCTGTTACATTCCTCCTAGAAAAGGCTGTGATATTGTACAGTGTTTTAAGGCTTTTGATGAATGTTTTATATTACTTTCTTAGACTAAAAATCAAATTAGTCACTGCTTTTTTTTTTAGCAAATAAAGAGATAAGCACTGAAAAAAGAAAGTCATACAGTGATAGTACTTACTCTCACAAACATCTAGTCATTCTTG